AAATGGGTCGATCCACCATTAATTGATGCAGCGAAGAAAAAGAAACTATTGGAGGCGCCTTTTCCTAAAGACTATCGCTTTGTATTTTACTTGTTAGATAATTATTATGATTTTTATACGGCTGCAAAAATTGCCACTAATATCGATTGGGTAAAGAGTTTATTTGATTCATACTACGGAATCAATGGGAAGAAACACAGAAAGTTCAAAAGTTCTGAATTAATAATCATGAGCATGGCGATTTGTTTATGCATATCTTCTAAAATAGATGATGAGACTTCGGGCCTGAATATATCGCCTGCTTCAAGCTGTTCTGCTAATACACCAGTAAGTATTCAATCTATGAACAACGATCAATTAACAATGCTCCAAGACGAGTTATTTGATAATTGTATATTTTACTACCACAGGATTCTGGTTATAAGTGACGGTATTGAAACGATTCAAGCGTTCATTTTATTAATTATTTACATTGAGTCTAGTTACATCACATCTCATGTGAGCTATATACTTATTTCTCTTGCTATTAGGTTTGCACAAGAGATTGGATTACATCGCCAAGAGACATACACTAATTTGTCTCCTCAAGAATGCGAGACGAGAAAAATGGTATGGTGGTGTTGCTACTGCTTTGACATGGAAATTTGCTTCAGAAGTGGTAAACCTCCCCTTATAAATGGGCTGGATATTAACGTTAATTCAGAAATGGATTTTTTTTTTGGCAACGTTGCTGGTAAAGAAAAAGTATCCAATGGTGAAAAATTTGAAGCTTTGGACCCGAGAAAACACTTCAGTTCATATATGCAATATTATTTCTTGTTGTTGACAAGAATTAGATCTAAGAGCTACACCAGTCTTTTTGTTGCCTCAGCCCAAACAGAGTCTTTTGAAAATTTACTGCTGACTTTAGAATCACTTAATATGGAGATATTAAAGCTTGGGGATAAAATGAATCCAGTAATGAGACCAAGATTCTATGATGATCCAGAATTTCATAAAGCATACCAAAAGTTTGACTCCATCGATATGAAAAATATTCTAATCGTGAATTTCGTATATTTCTCAAACTTGATGATTATAAATCGAATTCCATTTTTAACTGGAATTCCTGATGATGATGAAACCCGCGAAAGATGCCTTTCATTTCGGAACCTATATCTTAAAAGTGCTAGAACAATTCTTTTGATGGCTAATAATATTCCTCGTGAGTATTTGGGCCTTTCATTTTTTAACTGGGCCGTTTTTTACCCTTCTAGCGCATTCATGAGTTTACTGGCATCTTGTATCAACCACCCTACAGAGCCAGGGACCTATGACGATATAAGATTATTAATAGACAGTTCTATGAATTTTTTTTCGCATAAAAGGAGTTGGCCCGTCGAAGGATTTAGTAAGTTTAAGGTATACCAATCTAAAGATGCGTTAGTTGATTTAATTGTTAGAATATTATTAAGAATTGTTATAAGAGTTTTTGAGACGAAAACAGGAGTCCCGATTTTAGCGAACAATGATGCATTGAGACAGCATTTAGAAAGTACTGAAAAGCAATTTCCTGATATATTTAAAGAAAGCAAAGATTTTTGTTCACATTTTGCATCAGTATTGAATGCATCATTTGGAAATCAGGGTTGCATTAAAATTGTTAATTATTCACCATTCACTTCTTGTAAATCCCCCAATAAAAGTCCCGACTTATCATCGTCATCACATCAAAACAATTCGTTTAATCTTCAAAATAACAATGGTATAAGGCGAAATGACAGTAATAGTTACGATGGTAATATGAATCCAAATTTTCTTCAAGCTTTAGACAATGCTAGTACAAATGATAATCCAATAAATCATGGCTTGCTTTCAGATTACATGAATGACGAAGACTTTTCGTCTATCAAAAACTCCCAGATGAATAACCTACCTAATTTTTTCTTCGATAATAATTTGGGACTTTAATGTACATAAGGATAAATATATCGATTGTGTATAATACAATAATGATATTTATAATTTGAGAATATATATATTCACTATTCGGGGGTATCAGTCAAAAGCTAAATTACAATCTAGCCAAATGTTGAACTTGTTCTACTTTTCCTTGAACTAACTACATCTACATTATTTGAGAAAATATGTACTAAAACAACATTAATTAATCAATTATCTGGTACGAATTACACCAGCAGCTATTAACATATTAATCTTTTTGCTAACTTCGGGGTTTCTCATATGATCTTGCAACGCAGCCGGATTTTCTCTTGCTTGGCCTAAAATACCTTGCATAACAGGGTCTTGCAAAATACTAACAATTTCAGGATCCCTTGAAACTCTTTCCATAGTTTGTTCCGGGGTTTCACCTTCGAGGGCTTGGAACCTTTGTGACAGAGCCTTGTTAAATAATTGGTCAATTTCGGAAACATTTTTACCTTCACCGACTTGTAAATCCTTTTCCCTAGCAGTATTCAAAGTTTCCATAACTTGGGAATATTCTCTCATGGCCAATTGCGCATTAGCCTTTCTAATATAAGCTCTGATGAATGATGGATCCTTTTCAATAGCCTTGTTACAATCTTGAACTGCATCAGGGAACGACATTAATTTAGCTAATGCTGCAGCTCTGTTAGAATAACCTCTTGCATCCTCAGGGGCTCTCTTAATCATTTCAGTATAAGCCTTTACCGCGTTAGGCCAGTCGCTTTTCGTAAAATACTCCTTACCTTGCAATCTAGCTTCTTCAGCTTTTTCTGGATCAACATAACTTAATGCTTCTTGAATCTTTATGTCTCTTTGAATAGCCCTTAACTTATTCAAAATATCAGGGGTTCTATGTTCAGTTAATGATTTATCAAAGTACTTTGCTGCAGACTGTAAATCATTCTTCTTCAAGTACGCATTTCCTAATCTTGCAAAGGACTTAGCAATAATTTTATAGTCCGCTCTTACTTCTCTACCTTGTTCAATAGCAGTCTCGCATGTTTTAATTGCTGTATCATAGTCACCCTTTTCGTATTCAGCAGCAGCACGATTGTTTAAATAGGTAATGTCATTATGTAATTCCCAAGCCTTATTGTATTGCTCAATTGCTTCATCGAATTTTCTCTGCTTGTATAACTTGTTACCTTCGGCTTTTGCGAGATCAGCATCAGCTTTTGATGAAGGCGTAGCCTCAGTATCTTCCATTTCTACATCTTTTTGATCTTGAGAAGGTTCCTCTTTCTTTGGTTCGGACTTTTGCTCTTGATTTGGTTCAGATTTTGGTGCAGACTGAGAAGGTTGCTGTGGTGGTTCAGGAGCGTCCATGTCAATACCCATCAAAGTGGCCATAATGGTCATTAATCTTGGATCACTTAAAAATTGAGTTGCATTGGCTTGTGGGTTGGTTTGCATGTTAACCACCTTCTGAACTAATTCCGGATCCTTCATTAATTCACTAGTCTTAGGATTATTTTTCAAGTTGGTGATCAAGTTAGGATCAGAAAACATAGCACCTAATCCCATATCAGGTTGCGAATTTCTAGCCCTTTCACTGTCTTCAACACTCTTCAATCCATCCTTGGCCATTGCATTACTTGGATCTAATTCTAATGCCTTCTTATAAGAAGTTTTAGCGTCATCTAAATTACCCAATCCGTGTTGTGCAGAGGCAACACGATTGTAACCTTTTGCCCATGAATCGTTAACCTTGACACATTCTTCCGCATCTTCTAAAGCCTTCTTGAAGTTCTTCAATGATGCATATGATGCTGACCTGTTGGAATACAAGACATGATTTGGAGTTGGCGATGCCTCAATGGCTTTTGTAAAATACTCAATAGCCTTGGTGAAATCCTTTGCTGCGAAGGATTGATTACCTTGAGCTTTATATTCTTCTGCTGACATTTCGTTAATTGTAGTTGTATTGGATCTACAATTTCTTTTCAAGTAATTGTTCTTTTTTATATATTATGGTGATAAATATTTAGTTCTAGAAAATTCCACAGATTACGCAGCGCTCGGCCAGAATGAATTATCGATAATTTTAGTGTAGAAGTAAACGGCTAATTAAAAGAACAAATATAAATGATGCAACGTAATTAACTAGGAGATCCAAATGGATACTAAGTAAATTTTGTGATATTTGGTTAGATTTTTGACGTGTGGTCCATTATTCCAAGTTTATTGCAATACCGAACATTGGTCAATAATCTGTTCAACCAATTCTAAAGGGTAAGCAGGACCATAGCCATGGCATCTTTCATTTCCCTTTAGACAGCTCATTATCTCTAGTATATCCAAATTTTCATATTTCTCATTTTCTTGTGATTTCAACTGTAAGTAATCCCACACAGCACCGACGGCCAATAGCTTGGTACCTGGTCTTTCCGGATTATCGTAAACCTTGTTTATGGTGTCAGTATTGACCTCGTGCGTTCCAGCCAATCCATATATAAACTCCTTTTGGTTCTTAGGGAATATAACGTTAGTATCCTCAGCCTTATTGGAAAGATTTTGGTCCGAAGAAGATTTGTTCTTCAAAAATTCGTTTTCTGTCAGAATCGACACATTTTGTTGCTTCATCAAGTCCAATTGGCTTAATAGACGACGTTTTTCTGCTTCAGACTCTGCCAACTTGCACTCTAGTTCCTTTAATTTTGTTTCTTTCCGCTCGCGGAAAGCTCTCTGTGCTGCCCTATTTTGGGCCTTTCTTTTCATTTGAAGTTCCTCTTCATTTAACTCCGAATCGTCTTTGGCAATTAGTATCGCATCTTGTTCGTTCAAAAGCTGTTTTTTGGACTTCGGTTTCTTCTTATCCTCCGAAACTGATACAGGAGAGAATATACCGTTAGACTTGGTATTTAGATTTGAATTCAACACCCCACTTGGAGACGAGCTCGAACTTATTGACTCGTTAGCAGCATATTTATATGGCATGGAAATATCTCCATCATCTAGCATATCTTCATTCGAAGAAGGGTATTGTGCGCTATTTAAAATATTAACATTTTCTTGATTTAATTCTAATCTCATCCCCTCTCCCAAATAATTATTATTGTTTAGCGTCTGATTCCAGTAGGATGGGTCATCCATGAATGGCGACACCTTATTATATTCCATTTCTATCTTGTTGTTGTAATGTATATTTTAGCTAGATAGTTTTATTAATCGAAATACTCTTAGAAAATAATAGCCACACGATGAAGTCATGTGATGCTCGTCGTACTACTACTTTGATAAGAGTAATAGTAGAATAGTAGGCAATTAATTCGGTTAGGGAACAATAAGTAAGAAGTCTGTCGTTTTCTTGAAGTGCTTGATGCTAGTGAATGAAAGCCAACTGTACAAGGATTGAAATAAATATTGACTGCAAATATTGTTTATATCTGTCATGCGATCTTCAGTATTTGGTCTAATCGTACTACGGATATGTAGAGACGCAATGAAGCCCCGAAGTGTGTTCATATTGTCAAGCATGCAAACAGTGCATTAATTATATCTCGGTTGGATGCTTTTGGTTATTATGGAGAACTTGTATCAATCTTGATTTCACTTTTAAAATAAACGTATCTGCAAATATATATGACGACTCGAACAATTAAACTTCAATAAT